TGTTTTCTTAGTGGTGGCAGCAAGGGCGATACAGAAAATTCGACCTGTCTTATGATAAGCTTCTTCAAATGTCATGTTACCACAAGTGAACCTAAGAAACGAATAGAGACGAATTGAGCCATCGCGCATAAAAATCATACAAACCAATCTACTGCGACATGAATGTACCATTGGATCATTTCTTGCCAATCCTTTTCAGAGAAAAGATTGCCAGTCTTCCACAGGGACACGATTCGGTCCGACCAGCTCCGGCTGAAGCATTTCATATGAGGTCCAATAACTTGAGGATCCAGATCGTGTTGTAATTCATCATTGGTACGAGTGCACAAAACAGCACCGATAACACTTCCAGCACTGCAACCACTAACGATGTTAGGAAGACAATCCGTTTCCATCAATCCTTGCAAATGACCGAAATGATACAGCCCCATCATAGCCCCGCCTGACAAACAAAGAGCCGTTCTTCCATAAGCAGCTCGTGCTCGCTTGAGGAAGACCAGCAATTGTTCACGATGAGCCATGCTTGGAACCGCGCCAGTTGATCGATGACTCGGAGCTCCTTCACTCTCAGCCTCAGTCCCAAGTGTTGTAGCACTTATCAAATCTCCAGAACTAGTGTAGCGCAAATTGACATCGTCCATCGATGACAAATGCGCCGTGCTTCTTGTGGGCGATCCAATAAGTGTAGTGGGTTCCAGTCTCTCGAGTTGTTTAGTAGCCGCTGCTTTTGGCGAGGAATTCAACTCCTTGGACGAGCCTTCCTTGTTTTTGTTTTCTTTTCCCGTCTTCTTCGCGTCGTCATCCCCAGGATGGAAGTTTAAGGTAGCCACATTGATTGCGAGACCGATTAACGACTGCCACAAGTGTTCTCTTTCGTTTCGGGACTTGTGCTGGAAAGATTTTTCGTATGTTTTCAAATCTTCACTGTCGTGGTCACTTTCTAGTCTTACGTCATCATTAGGGTCTGCCGACATGACTTGATCAGTGACCCAGTGCATGGTCTTGGTGACTTCCCCAATAAATTCAATGACGATAAATTTGGGCTCACCAGTGTAGGTCTTGGTGAACAGATCTTCGCTCATGATTCCGCCAACATTCTTTCGAGTGCATTGCTGTAGGACTGCCATCGCCAAGATAACATCTTGTTTCTGCCGTGCTTCTTTCATGTCAGCCATTAGTTGTTGAATGAGAGGCCAGTTGTATTGATACGACGTCGAGTCCGAGATTGAACGTTGCCACTTGTCTCGCTTCTGGGATAAGTCCAGAGCGGCGGCATACTGATACCACTCTTCGTAGCTCTCTGCGGCGGCCATTTTCCGCCTCAGAGCCCGATGTTTAGGAGTGGCAAATATTGTTTCTGCCACCCGAATGACAACTCGAATGACAATGTAGACGATCAATTCAACGCCGATCAGCAGATATGTCAATCCCAAAATTGGCCACCGCAAAATCTTTCCCGACCAGGAATGTAAGCGACCCGGCACAATCGACAGCACAGCAATGACTAGCAGCAATCCTCCAAAAGTCTGCCACAAAAAGACACCCACTTTCCAGTCCATAAGCGGCCACTCACGCGAGAACCACATCCAAAAGGACTCTGGAGCACGACTAATGACAGTGGTCGTCTGAGGCAATTTCTCAAATAATTCCGTCATATTCAGTAGTTCGTTGGCGGAAATGTGGCCGTCGTTGTTAGTGTCGAAATATTGTAGCATAAATTCAGCAACGGTGGCATTGACACGATTTGAAGAGGCAACTGCTTGATCCCATAATTGCTTTTGGGTGTTGAGCAGCCATTGCTGATACTTTTCTACCATATTGCCGCCATCATTCTCGCCATCGCCACGGGAAAGCTGTTGTCGCTGATCTTGTTCTTTCCACCAAGTAGGAAGAATAAAGAGATAGAGTTGATGTGCCGCCAATGCAATCCAAGAAATGGCATCGTTCCAAATCCGACGAACCAAAATGGGAAAGGACGACATGATGGCAGGAAAAATGTGCTCCTTATAAAAATCGTAGATGGACTCTGGGTCCATTTTGCTGTGGTTGTTGGTATTGGAACCAGCGTCTGAAGTTGTATCAGTTGGGCTAGTAAAAGAGGAGTGCGATTGGTGGTCTGGTTGAGTTGATGTCGTTGGTTGGATGTCGTCGTTAACGATTTTGGACACATCGTTTTGTGCTGACAATGAGGCCGTAGAGCCGTTACTGGATGGATTATCAGCGTCATTATTGGTGATTCGTCCTTTCACGCCACGAGCTTTGTTACCATTCTCCTCCATGGACAAGGCTGGAACGTTGTCGGTCATGCTCCCCGCGCACGTATGTTGATTGTTGATGATCGAATGAATATTATTAGACGCTTACGTCGTAAATGTGAAGTGTGAAGGTCAGGTGGTTCTCTTCTTCTCTCTGATGTCTTGATTCTTTTGGAGATTCCAATAGTTGGATTTACAGTGACACTATTATTGTCGTTTTTGCGGTTAGACAGTGAGTCATTCAGAGAAATCAAGTTTGTCCATTTGGACGACAGCAATAACAACAACAACAACCAAACCGTAGTAGTAAAATAAAGCAAGAAGAAGTCAAAAAAAATGTGGGTGATGTGACATGACATGTGAGAAGAAAGAGAACATGGGATTGATACACGAGATAATTGTGCTGGATGCTGTAGTACCTACAGTAGGTCTATTGACCGGTACCTGGTACGGAGGTACGGTACTCTCGAAGGTACGACATTTCGAGTACGGTAGCGTTCCTACCGGTCGTATCATACAGTCATCGTACCTGGTACGTACCCCCAGGTACCACTACCGGAAGTCTACCGTTCTCTCACATCCCGCTTTGGCACTTTTCAGATGTTCGATTAAGTAAATGAGAGCGCGTCATGTCGTAACCGATTCGCCCAAGCACTTTTTAACGATTATTTTTCTTGATGACGAGGAACATGGAATATGATTCTGTCACCGACAAAAGTGCTCTACTACGTACTGGAGTACCTACGGTAACTACGGTAGGGTACTGCTCTTACTACGGTAGTACGGTAGAGGACTACGGTAATGGTAGTACGAATAGGTACGGTAGCCTAACCCCTCAACAGCAGAGTAAAGATACCGTAGGTACGTAGGTACTACAGGAATCAGGAATCAGGAGTTCTATCAAACCGGTTCGATATTCGGCCAGTACCGGTACTCGTGATAGGGGTACGGTACGTTGAACGTAGTACTAACAGTAACTGTAAAAGTACCGTACGCGTTGACTCCGCGCACTAACTGTAAAATAACTACTGTAGTACTTCGTAATCTGTATCATACGACGTATGATACAATGCTAAAGGAAGTATTGACTGACTGTGAGCACAAACTACCGTAATCCGGTAGACCTTCACACTTTCCCCTTTGCATGGCACATAATTATTGGCACTTGGCAAAAAGTGATCTTCCAATTGACTGTAGATCTGCAATGATGAAACAACAGCTATAACTCGTTCGCAACGAAATTAGTTTGCGATATCGAATCAGCTGACAGACAACTTTGAAGTGTTCCTAAATTTCTTTACTTCTGATGGGCTCCCCCGACCTGTGTCGTTCGTGACTTCTCGCGGAGACCTACAGAAGAAGGCGTTTCTGTTACACTTCGTTTCTTCGCATTGATTCGATTCGGCTGGAAACATGATTGTCTCGTGGGAACCGACACTCGGAGCGCTTCAAAATTCATGAAGAGGCTCCCCCCAGAACCAACAAAAAAGAAAAGAAATTTCCGCCCGTGAACGTCTTCCCAACCACCGATCCACAGGTTCCATTAACACAAACGCAAGTTGTAACCGTGGGTGCTCTCCGAGACTTCAACCCCCCTTCAATTCCTTCTAAGGTTACAAAATTATACTCTTTAACATCAATGTTCCTTCCACATGCTTTTTCTGGACCATAGCTGAAATCGAATTCCGTGAAACAATCAAATATACGGACCTATTTTTCAGCAGCTGTTCGTGAGCTGTGCTGTAAAAACTGAGATTTCTAGCGTTACCTTCGAAAATCTCCATACTTTTGATACTGTTCATTCTTGTGAGATTGATTGAGATGCTGCTGAAAAGTGCCGAATGGGTCAGGTCCAGAACGATTTATTGCACCAATTGCACTTGGGCAGGACAGTCCCTCACAATTACCAAGGTCGCTTAAATCTTCTTCTCCATCAGGTCTTCTACCTTTTCCATAACCTCCATTGTGATGTTGTATCTGATAATGAGTGGATCGAAATCTGGTGCATGGTGTGCTCTGCCCCTTGGGGACAAGGCAGGTGAGTCAACTTCTCGGATGCGGAATCGGTTGCAGCTACTATCGATAGCCTCAGAAGAGTACTTGTTACTGACGACCACGCATCGTCGTAAGACTATCCGGAACCGTTTGCGGCGTCGGTCTCCCGAGAGTGAGGTATATGAATTCTCGAGGTGTCGTTTCTTCAGGTTTCGTCGTTCGGTCCGTAACGTCTGGCATGTGTACTCCTTTTCAACTCATGTAGCCAAGAGTACTCCACGGCTGGATCTGCTGAAAATCTTTCGTTTCGCCGTCAAAGTTTGATTTTGATGTTTGGTTGGTTTGATTTCGTCTTTCGATTGGTGTCTCAGGTCGCACATCTGCCCCACAGCAATCCATTACTGTCGGAAAAGTTCCAAGTTGCTTCTGAAATGTCTCAGCAGTTGACAGTAGTCTTGGTGTCCTGTTGGAAATTTCTCATCCTCATAGTGCTGTTAGACAAATACGACTCTAGGTATAAAATGCTAACTGATTACTTCAATTGACATACGAGTGGGTAATTGCTTGTCGGCATGTTGATGAAATGAAGAACCTTTCACTAATACGGCTACGATACCAGTCTTACAGTTACTGTCGTAATAGCTATTAATACTTCGAAGTGTATTTAAGATGATCGTAAAATTCATTATTATATAGTGATGTCTCCGTCTTTCCAGCAAGCAACCGGTTGAATAACACAGAATAACTTGCTCCGCTATGGTGAAGTGGCATCACTCGAGACTTTGAATCTCGCATCCTGGGTTCAATCCCCAGTGGCGGAATCTTTTTGCAACAGTTGTTAGTGACAGAAAACGGCTTAGTACTGCTACTGTACTACGTAGTATTACTACTTGTATCGGCATTTATCCATAACAACATTTATTTTGCTCCTCCGATGGCATTCCATACATTTGTGGTACCATAGCATAATCACAGCAATTGTCAAGGGGGTCTATTGATGCGCTTGGTATTGAGCCATGGCCTTGGTAGATGGAATGCGAATGGAGCCTATATTGTGGGTTATGCCAATCACAGGCTTTAGCTCCGTCTGATCAGCTCAAAAAAGTTTCATTTGGGGACTACTTGGTTAATGTTGCCAGTTGTGTTTAGGATAGATGAGCTCAGACAGCAGTGTGCTTCGACGCTGCACTGCTCAAAGAGCTGATTCAAAGATTTACTCACCTTCTAAGTATTCCAATCGAGTTGGTTTACCATTGGTCTATTTCAACATGATACTTTAATGATGTCTTACAATCACAGAGAATTCACTACGCATCAAATCATGTCCACGAAAGCAAAATTCGAAATCACCTATTGCTTCTCAGTAGGGAACCTTTTTTTTGGACGAACCATTCTAGTGGCTGGGTTGTGAAATCCTGCCAGAAGAACTTAAGAAACAATAAGGCAACTACAATAGCATTTACTATCACAAGCCTGATACTCTTGCCAAAAGGATAATCCAACGATCACAATAAACTTGAATCCAATCGATAACTCTACGGATACGTGGAAAAGTGTGAATTTACTTTCGAGCATTCCTATCAGTTTTTTTGAATAAACCATACGAAATAGTATGGAATTTCCACCAACATCTATCAGTCTCTAACGGTTGGATTTGGAAACACGTTCGATTTCATCCTTTTTCTTGATAGCATATGAGTTGGAGGATCCTCTTGCGGCATTGATCAACTCCTCTGCCAAACACTCAGCCATCGTCTTCAAGTTTCGGAAAGAGGCCTCACGAGCACCAGTAGCCAACAAGTAAAGGGCATAGTTCACCCGACGGAAGGGAGACATATCCACGGCCTGTCGACGGACAACACCAGCACCACCAACACGTGTAGAATCTTCACGAGGGCCTGAGTTGATAATGGCATCCACGACAACTTGGATGGGGTTTTGGTCTGTCAACAAATGAATAATTTCCAACGAGTGCTGGACAATTCGAACAGCCATGAGCTTCTTGCCACTGTTGCGTCCCTTACGCATCAAGCAGCAGACAAGACGCTCAACAATAGGACAAGAGGCCTTTCGGAATCGCTTTTGTTGGTATCGACCAGCTGTGTGTGGAAGATAGACGGCATGATCACCCTTGCATGCAATGTAATCCTAGCAAACAATGTCGAGAAAAAGTGAGAAACATAGAGATGCCTGAAACGAAAGAAAAATACGACGCCGAGACACACCTCAAGAGAAATATCACGGATCTCGATATCATCGAAGGACCATTTTCCAAAAAGCTTGATTTCGGTAGCGCCGGAAGCAACAAACTCTTCTTCCTCTTCAACAGCCTCGATTTCCTCCTCTACAGCGTCGACAATTTCTTCTTCTACATCCGCCATGTTTGAAATGTTTTATTTTGTTTGGAATCAGTGGTAACTACAAAGTTGCAGAATCATAGAACGGTTTATCGATGATAAGTGCTCGACGAGAGGTTGGTGCCAGAAACAATTACAAGCGATTGTGGACAACTTCTCTTTACCACTTACTACATTTTTTGACTAATTTAGTGTCTTCTGCTTGAAGATGGAATTTTCAGAAGTACTGCGTACCGGTGCCGTAGTTGGCTGACTGCCGTCTGTCAGCATCACCTCTGCTCATTAAGAGCACGTGGTACGGTACGGAGTACCGGTAAGCGGTACCGTAGTACCGTACCGGTAGTCGCACGACTCGATCGAATTCAAGGTATCATAGAATACAGAGCTCAGGTGTATTACCTAGTCGTAACGGGTACAGGGAAAGCCATTTTTATTTACAGTTAGGTATTGTCTTCCATAACACTACTACCAGACTGGACACGGTTGCATAGATTCTTCAAAATAAATAAATCCTAAGTGACTCTGAACTTGCTTGCACGTCTTGAAACTTTGACAAGCATGTACTCCAGTGTAACAATATGCAACCTCCAAAGGGGGCACTTACTTCGTCATCATGGCCGTAAAACAAAAAAATTGAACGAACATCGCGTTGACAAGCGAAATGCCTTGCTTTTCATCCTCCAGCTAGGCATCTTATTCATTAATAGCTCAATAAACAGATATCTAGGACACATATCTGTCCTCCTTCTCCACAATGTCTATGCTGCATGAACACGAACATCGAAATGTGTCAAACGAAAATCTGTCTCCATTGAAGCAATATCAGCTATACACTGGTCCAGATTTTCCTTGTCCTTGATATTTGGCGAGCTGGCCAGAGCATCAATGACAAACTCTCTTTGACCAGTTTTGCTCATTCGCCGTGTGGTAGAGACATCTTCAAGTGACATGCCTTTAGAGGCAATTCGTTCTGCTACGTCGGCCAATATTCCAGGCCTGCCATTGCAGTACGCAAAAACAATGTCAGATGTCATCATTCTACAGCAAAATCGAAGAAATGCTCATTTTAGATTCTGTAGGACTCACCGATCTTCTCCCACACAATGGATTCGCAGTCCAAGGACAGCCTCATCTTTCTTGGTGGCACGACGTGTCAACTTTGTTGCTTGGATATCCAGTTCTTTTAATTTCCTCTCCCGTAATGATCGTTTGAAATTTGCAAGTTCATCCTTCGGAACAGCAACGTGCATTTGAATGATGAATTCTTCTCCTAAACGAACCATTTTTGAATGAGTAATATTTCCGCCATGATCAGCAATATGTCTTGCTAGTAATGCAACCAGTCCTGGTCGCTGTTTTCCAGCAGCAGATATGTTCATATGATCCATATTTGGATCGACTTCGACGGGGGTAGTGTTGAAGGTGTCGAGACCTTCCAGGAGAATCTGATAAGTAGATCCAGTGACGGCTCCACCCGCCATATCTTGTCCTCGGACAACATCCCCTCCTCGCATGGCCGACAAGACACATGTCCACAGCAAGGAAACGCCCGCAACAAACGGAATGCGCAAATGCATGGGCATGAAAGCAAAGTTGAATAATGTGGCAGGGACCCAAATTTTCCACAAGGCCATCAAGTCTTCTTTCATGTTTTGTCTATACTCAATCAATACTCGTCCAATTTCAGGCTTTCCGCTTTGGTTGTTGGATGGTCCCATGACCAGCTCTTTGGTAACGTAAAAGGCTGGAAAGTACATCAGGGGATGATGCACACACTGATCACAAAACGTTTGTGCCAAGAGCTGCCACATTCCTCGCACATCTTGAAGTTTTTGTCGTATTGGTTTAGCAGCAAATCGTGCAGCATTGGGAAACAAACGTCCAAAGATAGGAACGTACAATGTGTACTGGACACCACCCAAGTAGACAAAACCAAAAGCAGCAAAGGCTGCGTTTCTCTTCCAGTCGACCTTTTCTTTCCGTTCGACAACTTTTTGCACCAGCAGGTCGGAAAATGATGTCTTGAAGCCGGAAAGAATCACTCCAAAGGCGAACGGATATTCCACGGGGATCTTTTTGGCTTGATTCCAAAGAGTAGATCCGGATGAAGAACTGGCAGCAGCTGCAGTCGAAAAGGCGAGGGTGCTACTTTGAGAAGCATATGATGCAACTCGACGAACTGCAATTGAAGAAGACGCCATCATTGCCTCGCGGAGTTCCTTTTTCGTTGCTCCGAAGAGTTCGATGAATCTCAATGACAGTCGAAGTCGCTTGACGGAAGCCAACGAGGAAAGAAATCGTCGTTGCTGTGTCCTTGGTTGATAAAATGATGATGGGATAAAGTCAAAGAAGAAACAAGATTTTCTCAATCATGCTACGACTATCTTTATCTCCGATGACAGAACTGACAGTGAGAAAGGATTCCTCGGTTCCTTCTGAGACTTGCGACAGTCTCCGTGTCTTTGATTTCGAACACGCGTTGTACATATGGTATACGGTATTTCTGTTCGAATGGAATTTCAAGTTCTGCACGTTCTCTTCCTGTACGTTTGTATGGTCGGGACAGGGACAGAGCAGGAAACAAAAAATCATGATGTCGTCACCACGCAAAGCTGACGTTCGACGAGGAAAGGGTAAAAGATACCTTTTCGACCATACAAAAAAGGATAACGATCACCATTCGAGTAGTGGCGCGCGAAAGCGACGTCAGATTCCAGTTCAAAAATCTGCATTCACAGTCAACGTCTCGTTTTGATAAACTTCATGAAGAGTGTTGTGTTCAACATTCTCGGAAATGCGCTTCTGATGAAGAAATGAACGACATGACACCATGTAACATGTCTCCGCCTCGTCGAAAGCATATCTTCTATCTATTTACTGTTGCTACAGTCGTCCAGATCCACAGCAGCGTGAAGTAATTCGAAAATAAAGTGACTTTGTTTGCAATCAACGACTTGTCCGTCGATTTGGGTCCGCATCTTCTTGACTCCTCCCCTGCAGCGAAAACACCATCACACAAATATGGAAATTCCAGTCCCGTAGAACCACTGAACAAACATCCTCATGCTGGAGCTGCCGATGAGTTTGGCTATTACGAATACGTTCATGATCCCACTATTTTGAAGAGAAAAAGAAACTTTGCGCTTCTATTGGATACGGACCAAAGGGATGGAAGGATCTTGCACGCGGGTTCTTTGTTGATCACGTTTATGTTGCGTCGCCGTTGCCTGAGGGAGCCCAACGAATCAAGGTTTTCTATGCCAACTGTACCCATGCAGAGAACCGTAACCAAAGTGCTGCCGTTTGACAAACATGGGGAAAGCGTTGCGATGGATTCATGGCGGTATCTACAGAAACGCACCATTCCACTTCGACGGGAAATCTCCCACATCAAGGACCCTATCAAGGTCAACATAAGGGAATTTGGTAAAAGGTTCGATCTATTGTGGCCTAGTTTCATGACA